CACTGACTCACCTGATGTGACCAGTGTTGAAAACCGAATCTTGTTCACGCCTTATGCTGAGTGCAGTGGAGTGCAGTGCAGTGTATTGCAGTGTAGTTCAGTGCAGTAGATCTTCACACTGATTTCATATTGTTGAATGAAGGCGTGTCTTGCTGTCTTTCCGATCCTGACTGCTTTGACATCTTTACTTTACCTGTGTCTGTGCCGCCTGTGGTTGAAAGGATGGTGCCTGTTTAGGTGTGTGAAAGTGGCTACTTCCTTTGAATTTCTCCCCTTGATGGTGATTGGTGCCTGTTGTTGTTGTTGTTTGGGTGTCTTTAATACTTTTGTCTTCTCTACGTTCACTTGAAAGAAGTCTCGTCTTTCTTGCCCTGCGTCTTCTGTCAACTTGCTGGTTTTTGCCTATAGATTTTCGAGTTTGTGAGACACTAACCATAAATCTTCGGTGAACTCCAAATCTTCTTCCTTGGTTTTTTCATCGCTCCAGCCAGCGTATGCCGATCTTCCCGCTCCTCACTGTTTGTTACACTATCCAGTCCACCACCAGAGCATCCTTTAGTGTCTACAGGATGATGTGGCCTAACAAACTGCATGATTGCCTTCCACTTCTTGCGAAGGCTTAGGTCTTTCTTCTTTGGGAATTTGAGAAGGTAACCCTTCTCCCAATCGATCAGAAGGTACTTTCCTTCCTTCCAAACCTTTTGAAGTAGTGATGTGAGCATAACCGCGGTTGTCTCTGCATCTGTTTTCAGTGCTTCTGGAGGAGTTACATCTGGTCCTGCTGTTTCCCCGGATTTCAGCAATTTTATGGCATTCAGGACTTTGACTTTTGTCGGAGGGCTTATGTTCACTGATAGTTCTGTAGCTGGGCTGCTGATTTTATTTCTGGACGAGTTGCTGGAGGTGGTCGATTCAAGAGCTTTTCGAAGTGGTCAGCTTGTTGTTTCTTTTGTTTCTCCTCTTTGGTAACTAGCTTTCCTTCAGTATCTTTCAATGGTTTCGTTTGAGCTGATCTCTTCCCGGATAGTAACTTTTTATTTCAGACAATGTTGTCAGGTCTCTCCTGCCTGCACCATTCCTGCTTCACTTGCCAATGTGTCGTAGAAGTGTCCTTTGTCTTTGCGCGCACTCTTCTTCATTTCTTTGTCCAGTGTAGTATTTTATAAATTATGTTCAGTTCCTCTGTTCGTTGTTCATCCCCGCACTGCACTGGTTCATTTTCTGCTTCACCATCTTCCTCTCCCTTCTCCATCAGCTTCCATGTGTCCGTCGAGATCCATTTCTTGTATTCCTTCCTCTTCCTTCCTAATACTGTTATGCAGGTTTCCTTCCACATGGCTTTCCAAGAGTTCCAGTGTTCTTCAACGCCCGATCCTTCAGAGATGTTGCTCAGTATCTCCCATTTAGTCCTGATGACTGACTGATGAGAATATGTCCGGTGTAGTTTCGTCCTTCAGTTTCGGTTCTGGGTGTTGAACTTGAACTGTGGTCTATCACCAACTTCTGTGAAGGCTTTCAACTTGATTTGGAAGGTTCCTTGCACTAGATAGTGAGTGGTCTGAACTTACATCTGATCCCCTTCTTGATCTTGTGTCTAATAGGTTGGCTACCTCTCCACTTTCTTCACATTAAAATGAAGTCGGCCTGATTTTTAGTGTAGTGTGTCCTGGTGTCTGGTGAGATCAAATCCATGTCGCTCGCTTTGTGAATATCCTTGTGTTTGTACACACTACCTCCAATCACCAAATCGTTGAATGCACAGAAGTCTGCAAACAGTTTTCCATTCTCATTCATCATTCCTCTGAGTGCCTCTCGACACTTCATCAGTTCTCTTCCTGTGTTGTCCGCTCCCAGGTTGGCGTTCATGTCACTCCACCCATTAGAATGAATTTTGATGTTGCCAACTGGGGTGTGGTTTTCTCCAGTACTGATTGCGGTCATCTATAGAATTCCTCCTTCTTTTCTTGATCTGCATTCCTTTTTGTCAGGTAGTATTGAATGATTGTGACTTTTCTTTCTTTTGAGTTAAACCTTGCTGTCATGATCGTAGGGGAGACTGGTTCCCACTGCATGATAGTTTTCAATGATCTTGGAGACATCATGACAGGCACTCGAAAACTCATTGTGCTTGTAGTTGTCGTCTGGGTGACAAAATATGAGTATATTATTGACTTCACTCCAGTTGCCAGATTTGAGAGTCCACTTCCATTCCATCTGTAGATTCCCCGTAGATTCCTAGCCTAACATTTCTAAGCCATATCTCTTCATTTCTTTTGCAATCTGGGAAGCCTTGCCACTCAGCCAGCTTCAAATATCGTGCGAACATTCCATGTTTCCGTGTTAACTTTTGCTTTTATAGAGAGAAGAGAAGACACATCAGCCATTTGGCTTCCCGAACGCTTTCGCCAACTGGCATCATTGCGTCTCCCTGATTCCAGCGAGGAATAAGTTCACTTTTATTTTTTATATTTTTTGCGTGGTTTGAAGTTTCTTTAGCGATTAAATTGGTTTTGTGGGGTAGGGTTGCTAGCCCCAAGCCCAACCTTCTCTCTTTATCGAGAAATTTTGACTTTATTACATATGATTCAACATCTCACAATTTTCGTTAAGAATGATGATTTTTAGGTTGTATTTTAATAAGGAAGCATAGTATGTAAAAGTAAGATGTGATTTTCATGAAAATGTTATTGAATATTTGCTTAATATCACTTCAGCAGGTGCTAAAACATAGACTTTTTACATGCTCAGGTCACGTGGGGTGAAAAGAATGACATCAATACATCCCTAAGATAGCATTCATCACTAATTGACATCGTTTGAAGAAATATTGGGAACCTGAAATCAGTGGACAGCTGTTTCGCTCTGGAATTCGACTCCACAGCAATACGCACCCATCACCCCCCTCCAGGGATCAAACTCAGAGCCTTCACGTTTCAAAACGAATGCATTAGCCATTCAGCCTCCGTCTTGATTCTTCACTCATCCTAACAGTGAACGAGAAAATATAGTTTTTTCTGTTTTCACCATCTTTACCATAGATACCGCTAGTAAGTGCACTGCATATGCTTACAGTGGGAATTAATGAGAGATTAGGAATTATGCATAACATAATGACAATCAGGCACTATTACTTACTCAAACTTCCATAACCTCATATTCAGTCTACGACAAACACATCAAAGAACGATGAAGGTATTTCAGTGTCCCTGTATACTTTAAGATCGTATATGATGGTCACACTATATAAATGTTTCATTCTTATTCAATAATCTACCTATGAATAAAAGCCTAATACTTTGTATCTTGGAATACTATCCAAAGGAAGAAAGTGAATTCATGTGTATTAAAAGAGAACTTATATCACATGCGTGTGATGCAGAAGTACTTCTATCACCGTAAAACTACAAGTTTATTTTCATTCCACCCACAAAGTAGTTAGTTACGAAAGTGTGAAATCAAACAGATTATTATTATTATTATTATTTGTCCCTTGGGATCGTAGTGGAACAGACGGCTTCAGTAGCACATCTCCATTCACTCTCTTCTCTGCAATCTTTTCAACCTCGCTCCACCACTCCCGACAAGCTCTCATTTCTTCCTCACACCATCTCCTCTATGTCACCCTCTCCGCGGACGCCAAACTCGTTGCTTCACATTTGGGTTCCACTCGAATGCCTGGCGCGTGATGTGCCCAATCTGCCTTCTCAGTGTATGCCCAATCCAATCCATCTCCACTTCCTTCCAGTGCATATTTGTTGGGCGAAAGGTTCTTGCTTCTTTGGTTCGTTGCCATAGTTCTTTGGTGCTCTTTCTTTCTGGTCATCTGATCTTCAGCAAGGAACCAGCGTAAGCAGTTGTCGATGAATATCTACAGTTTGTTAGAAATGTTTTTCGTAACGCGCCAACTCCCTCAACCATCACATACAAGCACTGACTCACTTGACTGACATTAGTGTTGAAAATTCGGACGTTGTTCACGCTTTGTGCTGAGTGCAGTAGATGTTCACACTGGTTTCAGGTTAATGAACGCCGGTATTGCTGTATTTCCGATTCTGACTTTGATGTCCTCGTCTGTGTCATCACCTGTAGTTGAACCGATGCTGCCTGCCTAGGTAGGTGAAAGAAACTTCTTCCTTTAGGTTTCTCCCGTGGATGGTGATTAGTGCTTGTTGTTGGTGGTGGTGGCGTTGTTTGGGTATCTTGATCACCTCTGTCTTCTCTACATTCACCTGATGTCCCATCTTCCTTCGCTGCTCCGCCTCTTCTATCAACTTGTTAGCTTTCGCCTGTACATCTTCAAGTTTGTGCCACAAGATATTACACACAAGTCATCGGAGAAGTCCAAATCTTCTAGGTTCCCTTCCACAGTCCAGCCTATGCACCTCTTCTCACTCCTCACTGTTCGTGGCATCATGTAGTCCTCCACAATCACGAATATCATGGGTGATACTAGACACCCTTGTTTCACTCCTGTCTTCACTTCACTTCGAAGTCACAACTGAGCTTTCCATTGTTGATCACTTGGCATTTGGTGTCTTCATACAGCTGTTGAATGAGGTTGATAAATGTTTGTGGCACTAAAACTGTAGTGTTGAAGCAGCAGCTGTCAAATTGCTTCTCGGTGGATGCTGTTGAAGGCCGTTTCAAAGTCGATGAAGTTTAGGTGGAGTGCATCCTTGTAGTGATAGTGATTTATTCAAGTGAAAAAGGAGTTACTTATTCTGAGCTTTTATTCTATAGAAATTCAATAGTTTAAGCCAAAAATATCGAGAAAGTAAATAAACGGTTGAAAATGCTTATAAAGATTTTAGACTTTACAAAGGCGTTAACTTAAAGATGGGTATGTGTGTGTGTGTGTGTGTCATGTTCTGAAGGTGAATTATTTTAGAAAACTGAGACACATCTCAGGAACAAATTTGTTATTTTATATAAAAATTCTAAAGTTATCTAAAACCTTAACGTCTTATTATTCTTTATTATTCTTATTCTTATTATTTTAGCCTTCCACATCTAAGTCATCATGCAACTGATGCAGCTATATATATTTACATGTATAGTATATATGTTGAAACTCCAGTGACAAATATGTCAGAGAATATCAGTGCTTGGTTAACTGTTGCACTTGCAATTGAACGTTATATAAGTATGAAACATTGGTCAATTTCAAAAAGATATTTTACACGTAAAAATACACGTAATTTAATTTGTATAATATGTATAGTAGCATTTATTTTCAATATACCATATTTTGCTATTCAAAGAGTATCATTAAAATATGTAAATGGTGTACTACAATTACACAGTGATTTAACAGATTTCTCATTATCAATATATTATGCATTCTATTCTTGGTTACGTATTGTATTTGTTCAGATTATTCCATTATGTTTTCTATGTTTATCTAATTGTCTATTATTTATTCTTGTATCACAACATAATCGTCGATTTACAAATCAAACAAATTGCAATTCTCATAGTTCACAATATAAATCATCTAGAAAGAATTTTAATAATGATATCAATGTAAATGAAGGTAAAATTCAAACAGAAGTTATACAACATGATTATTGTACAGATAGTTCAAAGTATTATTGTAAACAAGAGATAGATAAGAAATGCAAAGTTCAATCTCTTAATGTTTCTTTAGTTATCGGTGGAACAATAAATATGCCAAATGATACTGAGATGATATCTTCAAGGAATACTAATAATAATATGATAAATACAACAATAAAATCAGATCTACGTTCAAAAAGACGACAAAATGCTCAATCAAAGTTGACTATCTTATTGATTGGAGTTATCTTATTATTTCTAATTGGTCAAGTACCTCAAGCATTAGCTTATGTCAGAGTATTCACTGTACTTGGTGTTTGTTCAATTGATGAAATACAAACATGTATAGCATATCAAATGTATCGAATGATTACAATTAATTTAGCTCAGTTTGCATTTGCATCAACTTTTGTCTTATATATATTTCTTAATAAAGATTTTCGTGAAACACTTAAGTATACACATTGTCAAATTTGCTTAAAATATTATAAACAAACTGATAATGAACAGCATACATTGAGAGAAACAAATTATATCAGTGAATAAGGATCCAACTTATCTAAAATGATAATAAAAGCCAAAAGTTCTTTATCTGATGAGTTATATATAATTCACTGTAATGATTTACTTGTAGTTACTGTTTCACTGTTAAAATTTTTTTGTTCTTTTCCCCTAGAACAAAATGAATATACAGGTATCCGAAATGAATGATGATAGGCAGAATAACTTCAATGATTATTGTTTCAATATGAATTTAACAAACTTAACCAATAATTATTTTGTATAATTCTACTCGAAAATAAAGTTTACCTATTATACTGAAAAAGAAATTTTCATCTCAAAACTAAAATTGTATTGAAAAACATTTTAACGATTAAATTGTAGAAATCGAATAGTTTAATGTTAAAATTCACAATAATTTCTTCTACTCAAATCTTCTCATATGGAATTAAATTCGAAAGTAGTTTTCTTTATCATTTGACTATTAGAGATAGCCATGATATAACAGACTACTATTTATACTGAGTGATGATTGAAGGTGAAATCAAAAACCTGGACTCCTGCCGGATTTGAACCAGTGACCACCGGGTTACCGATCCGGTGCTCTACCAACTGAGCTACTAGGTCTGACTGCTGACTATCTTTTCATTTCAAGTTTAATCATCGCCCAGTATCAATATTAGTCTGCCAAACTACAGCTATCTCACATAGTCAAATCATAACCAATATGATGCTCCCCCTCTCTGATTCAGTTAAATTTCCATTGAAATGAGAAGTCCTGACTACGCAGCCTGTGTGTCAATACGATCAAGTGATAGTAACGCATCGCGAATTCATATGGTAGTTGAGCGAAGTGAAATAAGAATCTGGTGAGCAGTCGAACCTCATAGCTCAATTGGTAGAGTATCGAGCCGGAAACCTGGTTGTCGCTGGTTCGAAACCGGCCGTGGTCTAAATTTTCATTTCGCTTACAACCATCACCCAGTATAAAGTAGTTTTCATCTTCAATTGAATTTAAATGCAGAACCAATGAAAACCCGGGGCCGTTGGGTGACTATTTCAAGTATGAGAGGACTTAACAGTGAACACCTATGACCCTGCAGTGGATCAAATTAAGAAACGTAGAGTCTTATAGCCAATTCCGTACCATATAGCCCCTGAGTTGAAATTTAATGGTTCACTAGTTCATACTTCATTAAAATTATTTCTATTATAATTTGTTCTTTGGGTACCTAGTGGAAGTTATGGCTTCAGTAGAACGTCACTATTTCACTCTGTTCTCTGCAGTCTTTTTAACCTGGCTCCACCACTCCCCACAAGCTTTCATTTCTTCCTAATATGATCTCCTCCATGTCACCCTCAGCTCAGACGCCCAACTTATTGTTATAATAAATATAAGAATGCCTTATCAAATAAGAAGTTTTCATTCTTTGCATGGAATGTTTAGTTTATCCACAAGTTGATCTTTCCTAGACAAGCCATAGGCATCACAGTACATAACGATTTATGACATACCAATATTTAACATTATAAACTACCGAGTGCAAATAGTTATTATAGTCCAAACTTATATATATCTAAAACATCATAACTTAAAATTGTTTCATTTGTGGAAATCACAAGTTTTGAATATTGAACATTGATACTTAAAACTTGATTAATTTCATACAGGTTTATTTTTCATTTGTCATATGTTAGTCAAATAAGAACAACTTTGTATCTGCATCGAATAAATTGAACTGTTACATGAGTTCTTACCTAATTTTAGTTGAAATTGTTAAATTAGTCATCATGAGGCATATCTATGGGTAGTCCAGTAGGACCACTACTAGCCGATATTTATATGTCATATATTGAAAATCTGGCTGGTGATCTCATCCCTAAAGTCCCTCTTTACAACAGATATTTTCATGATATCACAGTGATTTGTGAGACGCATGAGGATATGGCTTGTCTACTAAATAGACTTAACGCCATACAAACACATATCAGCCTGACTTGTGAGAAAGAGAATAGTAATCAACTGCCATTCCTAGATATACTCCTCAGTCGACGAGAAGATGGTTCAACAAGACGGTCAGTTTACAGATAGCCTACATGGACAGGACAATACCTGAATTTCCACAGTTTTTGTCCAATCCAATACAAGCGAGGTCTAGTAAAATGCCTGTTTAATAGGATCTATCATATCAGTACACCAGATGAGATGGATGAAGACATCAAATTACTGACCAAAGCACTTATGGAAAATGGATATCCAACGAAGTTTATAAACCGTTGTAGAGGTCAAGTAACACCAACGCCAACTCTATACACGGTTCTTAAGAAAAATGTCCAAATGACTCAGCCATACAGAGGGGAGCTAAATAGTATCATTTTGAGACGTAGGCTGACATCAACCATTAAGAAAACGTAGTACGTGGTGAATCTTACCATTGTGGACAAAAAACACATGCTTCACCGAAAACCTAAACGCTGAGTCAATGATTACGTCACATCCCACTGTGTTTGCCAATTTACATGTGTGTGTGGTCACACATATATAGGGAGGAGTAATCGAGTCATGCAGTTGAGGGTACGAGAGAACATGTGCCTAAATGGCTTCAAAAACAAATGGAGTGTGAAACAGTGATAAACGCTGGTGAGAGACCACCCTCTTCATCTACAGCTAAACATATCATAGAAACAGGTCACAAAGTTAATGTTCAAACAGCTTTCAAAGTTTTATACAGCAGCAGTCAGGGACGAATTCTGAGATTTATGGAAGCCATAGCCATATACAAATTTACACCACCTTTATGTGTACAAAAACAGTTTGTTCTTACACTACACCTACCTTGGTAAACTTTGTTTTCTTACCAAGATTAGGATCAACTATGTCACTTCTTGTTTGTCGTCAACTTTCTTAATTTTAATCACCTATTGTGTTAATTGTTGTATGAGAGACCACCCTCTTCATCTACAGCTAAACATATCATAGAAACAGGTCACAAAGTTAATGTTCAAACAGCTTTCAAAGTTTTATACAGCAGCAGTCAGGGACGAATTCTGAGATTTATGGAAGCCACAGCCATACACAAATTTACACCACCTTTATGTGTACAAAAACAGTTTGTTCTTACACTACACCTACCTTGGTAAACTTTGTTTTCTTACCAAGATTAGGATCAACTATGTCACTTCCTGTTTGTCGTCAACTTTCTTATTTTAATCACCTATTGTGTTAATTGTTGTATTTAACCCCACCCCCCCCACCCCAGTCCTCGGTTTAATATATATTGACTTGACGAGAGTAAATATGTGATCAGACTGTTGGAAATGTGTATTGCACAAATACATAACATTGTTCGCATAAACTTCATTTTTTCATTACGCTATCGAGATATCTGTTTTAGACGTAGAATTATGAAGGCTGATAAACTGGTATTATACATCCTTGTAACTCCTTAAACTAAAGCTTCCGGTAGAAAATATTTCAAATGAGACATTAATGTGCTTATGTTTCGCTTAATGCAGATATTCGACGAGTTTTCCTTCTTCCATCTTCTGTCTTCTTGATTTCACTATCCAACATAGGTGCTAATTCTCCTTCTTCACTTTCTAATTTATAAGTGAATTCAATTGCATCTACTATCTTGATCTACTGCATTCAGCACAAAGAACAAGATTCGGATCTTCAATACTAATGTCAAATCAGTGCTTCTATGTGATGATTCAGAAATGCGGCGTGTCACACGAACCACTTCCAACAAACTACATATATTCATCAATAGCTGCCACACACGCCTACACTCACTCGATACTGAAGATCAGATAGATGGCAAGAATAATAAGAATAAGCAGGGAGGAAGTCTGGCAACGAACCAACGAGGCTATATATATATATATATATATATATATATATATATATATATATATATATATATATATATATATATATATATATATATAGTCGATTGTTTAACTGATGTTCTTGAGATCGCTCCCGAGCTCGAGTCCTGGGACGAGGAAGACATCGCTAAGTGAGAGTTTGGTACATCCAGCTGACAAGTCACAATAGAAGGAAACGTGCATCCCGGATTCCACTGCTAACCACTATCAATCATTAATATTTATATATATTCCTTTAATTCACTTGGCTCCAGACAGAAAAAATTCAATTGAAATTTTAACAAAACTTGCAAAATGTATCTTAGATTGTAATGTTTTGTGTCATGATTTTTAGGGATTGATTGATTTCACGATGATTTTCACCGGTGAATAACATCAGTTGGAGAAGTAATGAAAACCTTGGAGAACTGCATAACTATTTCTGCTTACTTCTAGACTGTTGGTGAATTCAAAACTTTGAAGGAACTACTCAACAGTACTCAATGATTTTCCCTTGTTCTACACACATTTTCAAGCTGAGATCAAATTCATTCATCATAATAATTGGCTTGACAAAAATGCCTTTCAATAGATTTGCGAAATTACTCAAAATAATAGTAAGTGAATAATAATAGAGATTTATAGAATAGTAAAACTACCAGTCATCCATTATCGACAGTAATTAATCTGTTCATACACAAGATTGTTGAACTTCACGAAGTCTACTGACTATATTCGGTTCAAAAATGAGTGCAATCGAACCTACTGAACTGATAGGAACCCAATTGTTTAGTTTCCGGAAGACAGAAACAACTTTTTAACCGTTGCAGGACCTAGCTTTCGTCTTTCAGTAAATTATTCGGTCTTTAGGTACCGATATTCAAATTTGAAGCTGAAGATTACTACTACTCTACAATATAAGATATAAAATTGTTAAGCACTAAGGTTAACTATACAGCTAATTAAGGTCAGATTATCAAATTACATACATATATCGGAGTATGACTGAGTTGAACCCGCTGAAAATGAAGTCAGATTGAGTTATCGATATCGACGTATTATAATTAGTGTATTTTACATTTTTAAATTGATTAAAGTTTACTGATAATCACAACTCCACAAGTGATATGAAGTGTTGTAGCCTGTGTTGAAACCAAAGCTGCTAAGAATAAGCTATAATTAATATCCAACATATAGGCGTTTATGACAGAGATGATAAAGACACTCAACCAACAACCACCATCACAACAACAACAAGCACCAATCACCATGAACGGGAAAAATCTAAGCTAAGTTACCTCTTTCACCTACCTATCTACCTACCTACCTACCACTCCACACCTACCTACCTACCTAGGCAGCATCGTTTCAACTACAGGAGGCACAGATGAAGATGCTAAAGCCAGCCAAAATAGGAAGGATAGCAAGACAGGCATTTCTGCACTAATTT